ATTTCTTTTCATATTGGATTTTTGGTTTTCTCCGGCTTCTACAGGCTACACGACTTCATTCTGGGCTTTTGGATAATTTGGAAATTGATTTTCCAATGTGCTTCTTTGCTTCATTTCTTCATTTAATCAATGGGTTTTTGTTGAGAGATGAGAGTTTGAGATTTATTCTTCATTAACCTGCAATTAAAAGAAAAAAATAATTATTAGTGGTATATTTATTCATATAAAATAGATAATGAGGGTATAAAATTATAATAAAATATGATTATCAACTAACACAACTGCAAATAAAACTAACATGAATACAACTAGAACTAACATGATATAAATTAGAACTAACATAACTGCAAATAGAACTAACATTATATAAATTAGAACTAACAAGATATAAAGTAGAACTAACATGAGCTACAATAGAACTAACATCACTCCAATTAAAACTAATGTGACCTCTATTAGAACTAACATGAACATTAAATACAACTAACATTAGCTGGAAATAGAAGCAATTTTCCCTTTTATCTATGATGTTTGCTTAGTCTACAGTATGATTAATTGCATATATAAACGTTAGGTCCATGGTTGTACTATTGAGATACAATGTACTTCGTTTAAGATACAAAGTACATGTTGAGACCCCTCAGCCCGCTCAATGAGCAAGAAAATTACATAACAGTATGAATTTCTCATGAAATACTATAATATATTTGGGAAAATTGTGTCCAGGTTCCAAAAGCAGAAACTTCATGTGACGAGACCCCTTGTATTTTCCCCCATGTGGATAAGCCCCAAAAAGCATCGTTTAATATTTCCAGGGCCCTCCACGTCAGCGGTATACAAAAGACCAATTGTATTTTATAAGAAACCCGAATTTGCCCTTCTCCTTCGTCCCCAGCCCCTTCGTCCTCAGACGCTTCGTCACATCCCATTAAAACCCCCCCCCCCCTTTTTCCTCTATCATGAGCAATAACTATTTAGTTATCCATTACTCTTTCCTCAAACAAAAATTCTCTCCATTACTCTCTCTATATTACCCCTCTTTGTCCTAAGTTCGATCCATTACTCTTACCTCCACTTTATAATGGCAGAAAAGGACATCATCTGTATTGTCGCTTCAAGGGATAGAGCAATATTCATGAAGATTAACTCTTCAACCACCATTCTGGTTCTAAAATTTGATGTGTCAGAGAGGTTAGATCTTCCATATGATTCATTAAGTTTGTCATACAAGGATGAAACAAATGGAAGCTTCAAATTCCCTATTGAGAACAAAGATGATCTGTCGTCTATGGTAGAGCATTGCCATAACAGAGGATTAAAGGAGGTTCACATGCAAGCTTTCAAAGAAACAGAGGATTCTTCAAAAGTACACAATAACGAGCAAGTTCGACAAGATATGTAGGGCCAATGATTTTTTTTGATGCTAAGACCAATATTCACGATGTTAATTGTAAAATCAGTTAATGTTAGTTCATGCTAGTTCCATGTTTGGTGTAATTGGATTTTAACTCTGATTTGAGCGTATGTTAGCTCTAATAGATTTCATGTCAGATCTAACCGCTGTGAATTCTAGTTACAGCTCTATACGTATGAAGGAGGTTCATGCTAGTTCTTGTTCTACGTGAATGTACTAAACATGTTAGTTCTAATAGATTTATTGTTAGCTATAATCTATTAATTGTTAGTTCCAATCGACTTATTATTAGTTCTAATCAATTTACTATTAGTTCTAGCTCAAATTTTGCATAGTAGCCAATATGTTAGTTTTAAATGATTTCATGTTAGTTCTAATTAAAATCTTGTTAGTTCAATCGGATTCCACGACAGTTCTAAAACAAACAGTTGTTGTTTATGTTCTTTATATTTGCAGCGCTTCCAGCAGTATGAAGTCAAAAAGTATAGAGTGTGGCCCGTCGTTGTCGACGTCTACACGTGTTTCAGATAGGATTCCCAATGACAATCCTTCCGGAGATAATGTTCTAATGATTGATGATATCATTAATAGATCAAAGAGGATTCCTGCTTGGTGGAACACTGCTTTAACCGGTGAGGGACAACTAGGGATTTCAGATAAATCCCTAACCTTGAGAAGAACTTTACAGTCTTCGAAGTTAGAATTTATTATGACGTCCCTAGAGCACATGACACATTCATCGATACCAATGAGCAGAGATTGCAGAAATTCAAAATTCCAGAGGTGGTATAGGAGATTGAATAGGCGAATCCATACTAGAAAGGGTTAGGGCAACATTGCTAGCCTCAGATCCTCACTCCAATGGTGGAATTTGTCCTTAAATGTGCCTATATCTATCAGTCCTAGTTCAATAGCTTGGGTTAGAATTGGATCAGATGGAAACTGCACTGTGAAGCTGTGTCATGCCGCCTCCTTGATTTGATGGGGCCATGTCCTAAGATTGAAGCGGTAGGCCAGCATCTCTCGGAGCTCCTGTACGGATGGACGACCTCTATCAAGATTGAAGATGGCGTAAGAAGAAAAAAGTCGGATCCTGTTGGAGGTGTTGGCCGGGACGGTAAGCATCCTCAGAGGGGCACGAGCGGTAATTCCATGATGACAGTCTCGAGAGCTATGCCCTGTCTCATGGCAGTGTACACAAGAAAGATCCTTAGCTATTTGTGAGGGCTCACGACGGAAATCGATGACGTTGGGTTTCGGTTTTTTACCAGGGGATGGGGTTTAGAGAGGCGCCTTCATTAGGGGCAGAAGAAGAATAGTAGTGCCGTGAATATCCATTGAAGATCGTAATTAATTATTCACGTAATGAACCGCCATACCTGACTTAGGAACACGCGAATATATGATGTGATCTGTTAGTGTGATGGGACATGTCTTCGAAAAAAGAGAAAAGCTAGAAGGACTATTAGCGATAATGGAAAGTCCTTTCTTGGAAGAACGCGAATAGAGTACAAGAGACAAATTAAACAAATAAAAAAATTAATAGTTGTTTAGAGCGTTAGTTCTTGTGAGATCGCCTCTAACAGCTTCGATGTTAGTTCTAACGTGTTAGTCCTAGCCCCTCCAGCGTCAGTTCTAGGCATTGGTGTGTTAGTTCTAATCTGTTTAGAGCGTTAGTTCTAGTGAGATCGCCTCTAACAGCTTCGACGTTAGTTCTATCGTGCTGCGTGTTAGTCCTAGCCCCTCCAGCGTCAGTTCTAGGCGTTGGCATGTTACTTCTAATCTGTTTAGAGCGTTAATTCTAGTGATCGTCTCTAACAGCTTCGATGTTAATTCTAACATGCTGCGTGTAAGTCCTAGCCCCTCCAGCGTCAGTTCTAGGCGTTTGCGTGTTAGTTCTAATCTGTTTAGAGTGTTAGTTCTAGTGAGATCGCCTCTTCGACGTTAGTTCTATCGTGTTGCGTGTTAGTCCTAGCCTCTCCAGCGTCAGTTCTAGGCGTTGGCGTGTTAGTTCTAATCTGTTTAGAGCGTTAGTTCTAGTGAGATTGACTCTAACAGCTTCGATGTTAGTTCTAACGTTCTGCGTGTAAGTCCTAGCCCCTCCAGCGTCAATTCTAGGCGTTGGCGTGTTAGTTCTAATCTGTTAAGAGCGTTGCATTAGTTCTCATAAGATCGCCTCTAACAGCTTTGATGTTAGTTCTATCGTGCTGCGTGTTAGTCCTAACCGCTGCAGCGTCAGTTCTGGGTGTTGGCGTGTTAGTTCTAATCTGTTTAGAGCGTTAGTTCTAGTGAGATCGCCTCTAACAGCTTCGATGTTGTTTAGAGCGTTAGTTCTAGTGAGATCGCCTCTAACAGCTTCGATGTTAGTTCTAATGTGCTGTGTGTAAGTCCTAGCCCCTCCAACGTCAGTTCTAGACGTTGGCGTCTTCGATGTTAGTTCTAATGTGCTGTGTGTAAGTCCTAGCCCCTCCAACGTCAGTTCTAGACGTTGGCGTATTAGTTCTAATATGTTTAGAGAGTTAGTTCTACTGAGATCGCCTCTAACAGCTTCCATGTTAGTTCTATCGTGCTGCGTGTTAGTCCTAGTCCCTCCAGCGTCAGTTCTAGGCGTTGGTGTGTTAGTTCTAATCTGTTTAGAGAGTTAGTTCTAGTGAGATCGCCTCTAACAGCTTCGATATTAGTTCTATCGTGCTGCGTGTAAGTCCTAGCCCCTCCAGCGTCAGTTCTAGGCGTTGGCGTGTTAGTTCTAATCTGTTTAGAGCGTTGCGTTAGTTCTCATAAGATCACCTCTAACAGCTTCGATGTTAGTTCTATCGTGCTTGGTGTTAGTCCTAGCATCTCCAGCGTCAGTTCTGGGCGTTAGCGTGTTAGTTCTAGTGAGATTGCCTCTAACAGCTTCGATGTTAGTTCTAACGTTCTGTGTGTAAGTCCTAGCCCCTCCAGCGTCAGTTCTAGGCGTTGACGTGTTAATTCTAATATGTTTAGAGTATTGTGTTAGTTCTCATAAGATCGCCTCTAACAGTTTCGATGTTAGTTCTATCGTGCTGCGTGTTAGTCCTAGCCCCTCTAGCGTCAGTTCTAGGCGTTGATGTGTTAGTTCTAATCTGTTTAGAGTGTTAGTTCTAGTGAGATCACCTCTAACAGCTTCGACGTTAGTTCTATCGTGCTGCGTGTAAGTCCTAGCCCCTCTAGCGTCAGCTCTAGGAGTTGGCGTGTTAGTTCTAATCTGTTTAGAACGTTAGTTCTAGTGAGATCGCCTCTAATAGCTTTGATGTTAGTTCTATCGTGCTGCGTGTAGCCCCTCCAGCGTCAGTTCTAGGCGTTAGCGCGTTAGTTCTAATCTGTTTAGAGCGTTAGTTCTAGTTAGAATCAACACGAAGTGGGACTAACACATCATACCATTGTAGCTAAAACATACTCTTTTAGAACCAACACGAAGTTAGAGCCAACAATACATCTGATAACACACATTTTCAATTAAATATACATACATTATTGTATTTGTATGAACATATCATTCATCATTGTACACTGTTTCGTCTTTATGTCTTTGTTCATAACTAGCAAGTAATAATTGTGTGACAAGTCTTGCTCGCATAGCTTCAGGGATATCGTTTGGAGGATTAACCCGCAATGTTCAGCGGCCTTCAATTATTGCTTTTATAAAGAGGTAGACGAACAAACCACAGTCAAAACTGTAACATAGAAAGCTAAATTAGACATTTTCATCATATCTAATACTAACACAAATTAACACAATTTAGATATTGGAACTAACCGCCATCTTTTGTTGCTCGCATTTGATAGCTTCATATCTAAATATTCTGCGCACATTTTGCTCAACAAAATCAACATGATAGGCATCAAAATAGTTTATGATTTTATTAACAGGCTCCATCCAAGCTTCGTGCCCAGCAGAACTATAATGCTTGACAACCTTATCTTTCAAATCAACTTCAACAAGATGCCAATGGTCATCCCTGACCAAAGGGATCAACAGATGCTCCATGCAGAATACGGTATATTTATCAATATATGTCAAATATAGCTCGTAATTGCTCAGCTCGAAGCCATAGAGTGAGTGCTGCAAACACAACATGTATGAGTTAGACCTAACGCGCCAAAGAATAGAACTAACATGGTACATATTAGAACTAACACGGCATAAATTAGAACTGACATGAACTGCACTAGAACTAACATGACTTATGGTAGGTCTAACTTGACGCCAACTATAACTAACGTGACTCATGGTATAACTAGCATGGATCCAACAAGAACTAACATGCATTTCAATCAAAACTAACAGAGTGAGTTTAAAAATAGCATGTTCTTACAAGAAAGAACACAGATACGACTCCATACCCTTTGTCATATGTCTCTTGGTTAAGCGTGTCCAATACTGCTTGTTCCATCTGTAAATGTTATGAAACATTAAAATTCAATTTAAACAAGACATTTTCAATTATTAAGCATGTATAATCTAACATTGTCATCAAGCCAGCCACCACGAAGCAAATATAACAACTCTTCTATGTTAATACTGTTGTTGGATGTTACTGTAATATTATATCTCCTGAAAATTAGAACTAACATGAATTAGGCCTAATATGTGACGAATTAGCATATAAATAGTCAACTGAAACTTACCTGTGAATCTTCTGAGAGCAAATTTTGGTTAGCCTATCAATTTGAGCTTTGTCGAGTCTGGTTGCTACTACAGATGGTATCTTTAAATTATGTACAAAAACACTTGTGCTATCTATTATGCGTATGTTAAACGATGTAGGATCTGGAATCTCTTTATTCAGCTTTCCCAATAGAGCTACATCATCATCTGTCGTTGGCTTCAAACTCAACACATCCCAAGTGGGGAATTGATTACCGGGGTAAAAATGAGTAACTTTGTCAACTAGTTTTACATTTTTAGGACTTTCAAGTATTTCTACTTTAATTTTTTCCTTTTTCTTTCTTTTTCCTTCAGTATATGGGGTCCTCTTCCACTTAGATCTCCTGCTTACCCTTCTTGGCTGTGAGCAACCCTTTGCTTCCACATTGATTTACATAATGACAGCTCTATGAACATGTTGATAGACCATAGGTAGCGAGTAAAATAACACGTCCCATTTTATGTTTCTTCCTTTGGTCTCAAAAGCTAAAATAGTTGTTGTCTGTATGTAGCTAACTGCTACCCAGACGCGTTCTTGTGCCTCTCTCTGTGGAGTGCTCTCTGTACTCTGTCCGTCTCTCTCTTAGGCTCCCTCTCTCTCTCTCAGACTCTCGTAGGTCTGTCTGTAGCTAGCTGCGCGCTGGTCCCTGTCCCTCTTTTCTGCCTCCGTGTTCTCTCTCCTCTGCCACACACACTCCCCACTTTCTCTCGGGGCCCTTCTCTATTTGTAGTGCTGCGCTCCCCCCTCTCTCACTCTCACACACACGTCTTCTCGTCGCCGCCCCCCTCTCTCACTCACACACACACGTCTTCTCGTCGCTGCCCCCTTCTCTCTCAGGGCCCCTCTCTATTTGTGGAGCGCTCTATGTACTCTGTCCGTCTCTCTCTTAGGCTTCCTCTCTCTCTCAGACTCTCGTAGGTCTGTCTATAGCTAGCTGCACGCTTCTGTCCCTGTCCCTCTTTTCTGCCTCCGCGTTCTCTCTCCTCTGCTACACACACTCCTCATTTTCTCTCAGGGCCCCTCTCTCTTTGTAGTGCCGCGCTCTCCCCCCCCCCTCTCTCNTCGCCACCCACCTCTCTCTCAGGGCCCCTCTCTATTTGTAGTGACGCTCTCTATCTCTCACGTCACTGCACGTCTTCTCTCTTCTCGCCGCGCGCCTCTTTTTGGTAGAAGAGAAAGTAATGACTAAGGTATATTTAGTACCTAGATTATTATTCATCATTTTTAATTTTCTGAACTTGTGAATTTGGTCACTTAGTTAGGGTGTAAAAAGATGGATAGTTTACAAGCTTGAATCTTCAGAGTTGATACTAGAATAACCTTGTCCAGTTAGAGACGAACAACCTTGTCCAGTTTTACTAGAATAAATCTTACTTTTTCAGTAGGGTGTAAAATGATAGTTTACAAGCTTGAATAAACCTTATTTTTTCATTATCTCTCTCTGATACAAATCTTACAACCCCATTAATTTGAGACGAACAACAGCTTCCAATCAGAGAAATTTACAATATCCACTGCTATGCCTCTTACTGTATTTGATCTATTCACAAGTTCAGAAAATTAAAAATGCTGAACAATAATCTAGGTACTAAATATACCTCAGCCATTACTTTCTCTTCTACCAAAAAGCGACGCGCGACGAGAAGAGAGAAGACGTGCGGCGACGTGAGAGATAGAGCGCGGCACTACAAATAGAGAGGGGCCCTGAGAGAGAGTGGGGAGTGTGTGTGGTAGACGAGAGAGAACGCAGAGGCAAAAAAGAGGGACAGGGACAGAAACGCGCAGCTAGCTACAGACAGACCTACGAGAGTCTGAGAGAGAGAGAGAGAGAGAGAGAGAGAGAGAGAGAGAGAGAGGGAGAAGTGAGAGAGAGAGAGAGAGAGAGAGAGAGAGAGAGAGAGAGAGAGAGGGAGCCTAAGAGAGAGAGGGACATAATACAGAGAAAGCTCCACAGAGAGAGGCACAAGAACGCGTCTGAGCAGCAGTTAGCTACGTACAGACAACAACTTTAGCTTTTGAGACCAAAGGAAGAAACATAAAATGGGACGTGTCAACCATACTATCTACATTCTTCCCTTCTCTATCAACATGCTCCTCCAACTTATCTGGATTCTCCTCCTCCTTATCTACGATATCCTCCTCCTTATCTACAGTATCAGCAGGATCCTCATCAAAACCTTTGTTATCTATAATAAAATTTTCATGTTTAATCTACATGTTCAACATTGAGATCTACACTATCCTCAACATTACTATCTATATTTAGGTCAACCTTACTATCTACATTCTTCCCTTCTGAAATAACATGCTCATTTTCTATAACCTTGTCGTCAACAGGAATGCTTCACATCCTCTTCAACAATCTTATGTATATGTTCTTGCATGGTGGGGTCTTCCTTATATACACTGCTTGTTTTGGACTTCTGTTCCTCTTGAACTACCCGTCGCTTCTTCCTCATTTCATTTGTAATTTTCTGTTTGATATTCGCCTTCAGCACCACCGGGTCTATAACCTCATCATGACTTCCAAATTTTTTAATTATCATGTTTAGCATGTTTATCTCCATCATGAATTCTTTACAATATGTACTCTTGTTCTGCTTTGTAGCAACTAATAGTCGTTTGAGAAATTTAGCAGAATTTCTCCAAAATGTAGCTTGCTGCTCAATGGGAAGAACATTGCTCTCCTCTTCATCGTCGAAAGCAACGTCAATATGCTTTGTCATGATCTGTTATTAATAAGAGATTATAATATAAAGTAGGATTACACATAATTAGGATATTGTTTGCAGTTGGTGTGAAATGAATACGACTTAACATAACTACACATAATTAGGATATTGTTTGCAGTTGGTGTGAAATGAATACGACTTAACATAACAGGATACTTACGTAGCCTATTGAGAAGTTAGTTGGTGTGAAATGAATACGACTTAACATAACAGGATACTTACGTAGCCTATTGAGAAGTTCTTAGTAGATTCCTCTTGGATAGCCTTCCTCTTTGCCTGACGCTTATGATGCACAACTTCACCCCTTTGTACAGCGGGAAGTGCATGAACATGACCTGGAGAAGGGACCTCCACAATAGGGCTATTGACGCTAACTTAATCTTTGCCGTAATTGTCTCCACCCACATAGATGGGACTTTTGCATCCTCTGGTGCCTAATTTGTCATTGGAGGTCTGGAGCAGTACACGAGGGCATATTTCTTTATGCCGGTCATCTCGTAGTACCAAAGCTGTAGCAAATATATTTAACATTTAGAATAATACTAGACTACACCAAAGAGAGTAAACTATGGGTGCAGCTAGAACTAACATGATGTAAATTAGTACTAAGGCATTAATTAGAACAAACATAAACTATGTTAGAACCATCATGAGCCCAGGTTGAACTAACATGACCTATGTTAGGACTAACATGTGCAACTAGAACTAATATGGTATATCTTAAAACTAATAAGGCATAAATTAGAACTCACATGATACAAATTAGAACTAACAAAATCTACGATAGAACTAACATGGTGTAGATTAGAGCTAACATGGCATAATTAGAACTCACACGACACAAATTAGAACTAGAATGAACCAAGTAAAATATGAAACTTACACACAATAGTATCATGCATCCTGGGACATATATGACCCCTCGCTTCTCCTTTCCTCCCAAAGCAACTCCAATGCCCCTGATAATTTCATCATAAAAGAACCGGACACATACAACAGAATTAACCCTCTCAATGTTGTCCAGGTACTTGAGTAAGGGTCTAGGGATACCTTCCCCGGCTCTGGGGCTCCATATCATAGAGCAGTAGTACAGGATTTGTAGCAGAACAAAATCCTGGATATCCTACTTTTCTGTAGATTCCACTAGCCTTTCTAGTTGCCCTTCGAGGTGTTTACGTTGGGTGATTTCTGCTTTTTTTAACTTCTTACCCTCTTTCGAAATAAAAAGATTAGCGAAGTATTCCACCCATATTCTGCTTCTTGAGTCCCGATTGATACTTACGACTTCACCATAAATTGGGAAATAAGTAAGGTTATGGACCCATTGCAAATCAAATTTAACATTTTTCATACCCACTTTTTGAATCAGGTATAAAAAATGTGTTATTATCACTGTCAAAATAGCTCAGCAGCAGTTCAAGTGTGAGCTGATCAGGCACAGGAACCCCAAATAAAATATAGTGCTCAATAGAACCACAGTATGCATCCCTATGTCACTGGCGAATCTTCGGGACAATTCGTTTCATGAATTCCCAATAGGCCCCGATATTGGCGGTTAACCTTAGTGATACGGTCGCACCTGTAAGAGTAACTTTTTTCCTGCAAAAAGATTTCGAATTTGTAAGTTCAATAAGACCTATGAACTCATATTGTTGAAATCCGATCAGAAATTAGAAAGATGAAGAATTTTTTAGGCTCCTAAGCGGTGGAAGAGAGAGAAAGAGGGAAGGTACTTGAATAGGGCTGCGACGCATTAACCGAGTTCAGTCCCATCAGAGGGGCACGATCGTAACTTCCGCTGGGCCTTTTCTGAAAAAGGTCTTTTCAGGGCTTCGTCACAAATACGTACTGTGTGTATTTGGTGCTTATCCACATGAGAGGAAATATAAGGGGCCTCGTCACATGAAGTTTATGCTTTTAGGGCATGAACACATTTTTCCCAATATATTTTCTTAAAATACTAATTACAAATCTCTATTCAATTGTCAGTATATGGGATCCAATTCCACTAGGATCCAATTCCACTAGTATGTGGCTCAAGAAGAAAATTAATAGAGCCACAAATTGTAAGCGCTAACGAATTGATGTATCAGGAGTAATGCTCCTGTAAGAGTAAGATGCCCATGTCAAAATGGGTGGATAGTAGTCCAGCAGGCTCAATAAGGAAAACACTCTCGCATAGCTATTTTCACCTAAGTTAATTCCCAACTAAAAATGATGAGATAATGTGTCACATTCATCCAAGAGGATCCGATCGAGTTGGTAACTTGCCCATAAATAGTACACTAAGATCACAAGTTCAACTCTCGCACTCATAGAAAATTAATTTTGTGGCGGACAGATTTTCATAACAGTCTTCGTTGGACTTTTAATCCCAAAAAGAACCCGTTTTTAACTTATTTTTAGAAACCGACATGGTGTCAACCTCAAACCATATCGCTTTCTGAAAAAAAAATCCATAACTTCACAAAAAACAAGGCTCCGTTTCAAAGCTGCGCACAAACAACTCAAACAAAACCTAATTAAACCTAGACATAACATGATGGTTCTGCTCTGCTCTGCTTGCTTAATTTGACATATTAATGCGACGCGAGTAGGTAACTTAACAAAAAAAGCTAACTGATGGGTGAATTTAGCTCCAATGTAAGCATCTGTTGCTACTGCCAATAAAACGTTCTAATGAAACAATAAAACTAATTTCTAAAAGGAAATTATATATCTAAATTAACCTAATAATTAAGGGTTTCTTCAGCAACAACAATTTCTCAGTTAAAACTCTCACCTGATAATTTCCAATACCTCCCAACCCAGCGTAAGCATCTGTTGCTACTGCCTCCGTCCTCTTCATCGTCGTCGTCCTTCATATCATCACCGGTGAGCTCGTCAAGGGTCAGGATTGGGTTCTTCTTTCCTCCAATCTGATGATCAATCTAGAGGAAGGAGAAGAGAGGATGGATTTTTGGATGATTTAAATGACTTATTTAGAGCAACTCCAATGGGGCTGCAAAACTCCAATTTGCAGCCCCATGGAGCTCCAACCGGACTCCAATTTTTGGAGTCCGGTTGGAAAATGAAACCTTCGGCTGCATATTTGGAGATTTTTCTCCAAATATGCGCAGCCCCCTCTACTTCACTATTCCCTCTATTTAATTACAATAATACCCTTCTAACTAACTAATTATTTTTAGATATTCAACTTAAAATCAACATAAGTTTATTTCTACTAATTATTTCTAAATAAAAATTTTACAGTTAGAAATGTTTTGTCGATACCTTCAAAATGAGACTAATATTGAATAATATTAATTGAAATATAAAATTTCAAGAACCAAGTAATTAAAAATGAAAAAGTTATTATTTCATTAGTAAAAAAAGTTACATAGCTTCATTTCCATGTCTTTCCCACAAATGTTCAATCAATGCATTTCGAAGTGCAAAATGAGCTTCTTTGTTTTTCAACCTCTTATGTCGAGCAAGAAACCGTTGGAATCGTTCAGTTTCCGTTATCTCCATATTTTCAGCATTCGGAATTGATTGTGGAGTTGAAATGACAACATCTTCTTGCTCGTCGCGTTCATCTTCGACAATCATATTGTGCATTATAATACAAGCAGTCATGATATCATGCAGAGTTCGTTTATCCCAAAAACAGGCTGGCCCCTTGATGATAGCAAATCGTGATTGGAGAACACCGAATGCCCGCTCAACATCTTTTCGACATGCTTCTTGCATCATTGCAAAATATTGTTTCTTTTTATCATCGGAATTAGAAATGGTTTGAACAAGTGTTGGCCATTTCGGATATATGCCATCGGCCAAATAATAACCGACATCATAATTTTTTCCTTGAATTGTGTAATGAGCAGGAGGAGCAATACCTTGTGATAGATTGTCGAACAAATCAGACGACTGCAATACATTAATATCGTTATTGGATCCTGGTAAGCCAAAGTATGCATGCCATATCCATAGATCATATGATGCTACTGCCTCAAGAATAATGGTTGGACCTCCATGACGACCTGAGTATTGTCCTGCCCATGCTGTTGGACAATTTTTCCATTGCCAATGCATACAGTCTAGACTTCCTAACATTCCTGGAAAACCTCTTTCTTCGCCCTTTTGCAATAACCTTGCAACATCGTCGACATTGGGAGTCCTCAGATATTCATCTCCATATACTTCTACAGTTGCTCTGCAAAATCTCTTTAAACACACAATTGCAGTTGACTCACCGATCCTAACATATTCGTCAGTACTATCTGCTGATGTTCCATACGCCAACATGCGAAATGCCGATGTAACTTTTTGTAAAGTTGATAGCCCAAGTTTGCCGACACCATCCATCTTCTGTACGAAGAAGTTGTCATGCTCACGTACCGCCTCGACTATACGAAGGAATAAACTCCTGTGCATCCGGAACCTTCTACGGAATAGGTTTGCACCATATGTAGGGTTATCAGAAAAATAGTCATGGTAAAGTCGAGAATTACCTTCTTCCCTCCCGCGATTGATCACCAAATGACCAGGAACTGAGCCAATACGCTTTGGCCGCTCTGCCTCTTGAGAGAGATAAGTCATTATTTTACTATTAGAGGCATGTACGCGAGCTAAGAGTTCATCTTCCTTCTCCCATTGTGTCATATCTTCCTCCCAATCTTTAATGTACTGAGACCATATTTCGTCGTACCGCCTCGACTATACGAAGGAATAAACTCCTGTGCATCCGGAACCTTCTACGGAATAGGTTTGCACCATATGTAGGGTTATCAGAAAAATAGTCATGGTAAAGTCGAGAATTACCTTCTTCCCTCCCGCGATTGATCACCAAATGACCAGGAACTGAGCCAATACGCTTTGGCCGCTCTGCCTCTTGAGAGAGATAAGTCATTATTTTACTATTAGAGGCATGTACGCGAGCTAAGAGTTCATCTTCCTTCTCCCATTGTGTCATATCTTCCTCCCAATCTTTAATGTACTGAGACCATATTTCGTCGTCAGAAGAAGAAGAAGAAGAAGAAGAAGATGGTAGTTGTGAATGTCATTATATAATATGACTCCCCGCATTGGATTCTTTTCAGCATTGGTTTCTCACCCCCACATTGGATTCCTTTTGTGTTGGAGACTCCCCACATTGGATTCTTTTCAGCATTAGCCCCCCCCCCCCCCATTGGATTCCTTTCGTGTTGGAGACTCCCCACATTGGATTCTTTTCAGCATTGGTTTCTCACCCCCACATTGGATTCCTTTCGTGTTGGAGACTTCCCACATTTGATTCTTTTCAGCATTGGCTTCTCACCCCCCATTGGATTCCGTTCGTGTTGGAGACTCCCCACATTGGATTCTTTTCAGCATTGGTTTCTCACCCCCACATTGGATTCCTTTTGTGTTGGAGACTCCCAACATTGGATTCTCCTGGTGTTGGAGACTCCCCACATCTGATCCCTATATAATACTTGCACAATTTTCATATCTCCACCACAACTCTTCTTATTCTATATTCATAACTCTTTACATTCCTCCTTAGATTATGGCATCTAGTCGCGGAAAATCTTTTTTACAAGAAGAAGACCAAGTTTTATGCGCCACGTGGCTCGAAATTTCTCAAGATCCAGTCATGGGTTCTAATCAAAAGAAGGACAAGCTGTGGGAACGAATTTCTGCTTTATTTCATGAAAGGATTTCCAATATTTGTAATGCTCAAAGGACTCCAAAGTCTCTTTCATGCCGAATGCAATTAATTATGAAGGCCATCAGTAAATTTCGAGGATGTATTCGACAAGTCGAGCGCTTAAATCCAAGCGGTGCTTCTGAGCTTGACATTGTAAGTATTTTGAATAACATAAATCTTGATTATCATCTACTATCATGTTATTAATAAATGTTTCTTCCTCTCTTGTGGTAGATTAAACGTGCTAGGATAATATTTGCAGAAGATCCAGAAGAGAGAAAGGGGTTTATATTTGATCATGTTTGGTCAATTTTAAAAGATGCAGAGAAATGGGCAAATATAAGTGTCAGATCGCCTGCAACTTCCAAAACTTCAAAGTCCCGCTCATCTCAGGGATCAGATTCAAGTTCTCCTGTCGTCGACTTAAATGACGATAATGAGGAATATACTCATAATGACGAAGATATGATAACAAGTCGACCGACAGGAAGGAAGAAAGAGAAGATGAGGAGGCGACAAGCAACTGAATCCAACCTCGACTTGGAAACTCTCAATAAAAGCAATCAAGAAATTGTCGATATTTTAAAAAAAAGTCATGGAGAACGAGAAAATGATAGAATAACAATGCACCAGATTATGATGTTAAGGGCCGAAAACGAAAAGAAAAAATTAGATATTCAAAGGGAACGCCAGGAAAGTAAGATTATGTTGATTAATCTTGATACTATTACTGATCCTTCGGAACGCGAGTATTTTCGAATTAAAAAACAAGAGATTTTAAATAGAAACACAACCGGAGGTTCTTCATCTGATATTCCTAATCCTGAATATAGTTATGCAGGAAGTCAATACGGAATACCTGACTACAGAAGCGGTGGATATGGAGGAAATGGCCTGCCCGATTTTTAGTTTTTTTCATGTACTTTATTTTCATGTACTTTCTTTTTCTATGTAATGCCGCTGAATGTAATATATAAAATTTCATCATTCGGAGTAACTGTGAAGGTTGTTCCAAATATTATGTTATATTTTCTGCTTTAAAAATTTAAAGGCGCTTATCTATGTCTTATTATCAATTTATTAAAGATAATTACTTTTATTTAAATAATGAGTATATTATATATTATACTTTTAGTATTAATTTATAATATATTTTATATTTTAAATTAATTCATATAATTTTTTAACATTTTTTATTTTTTATATTTTCAAAACTATTTAAAGTATTAATAAAAGAAATCAATTAAAAATGCAAATAGAGCTTCATATAGAGGAGATGGTTGGAGTTACCCCCCTCTAAAAAGCATATACCTAAGAATATGCTTTGGGGAGGCTGCATTTTGCAGCCTCCCCATTGGAGTTGCTCTAAGAATATCAAAGATTTGATGGACTAATATCAAATAGTGGAGGCAACGAGTACGGTTGAGGAGTACTGGTGACCATTGCAGGCTCACGTGAAGAATCTGGTCAGAGACTTTGAATGAATCAAGAGGACGAGTGAGTTTACGCATCAAACTTTATGGGGGAGGGGAGTTGTCACAGTCAGAGTAAATGTGGGATTAACCGGCTAGTGACCTCCCTTTTCTTTTTTTTTTTTTTNCTCCCTTTTTTTTTTTTTTTTTTTTTTTGGTCAAGTCGACGGTAAACCCTTGAGGAGGGGGCATTTAAAGAGACATCTGGAAAATGTTTTTTTTTTCTTTTTCTGTATTTTAATTGATGATTTTTTCTCACAATATATAAGTCTTAAAGATGGATCTTCTCTCTACGAATTGTTTTGGATCTTCTCTCATGGTTCAAATTTAGGACCTTTGAGTAAAGAGCAAACACATCTAAAACCATGGTGGTGGACCCTGGATGATTATTTAATAAGATAAATATCAGTCCCATTCTTTCACTATTAGAGACTTCAAATTTTAAGAAGCTACCCTACAAATGTTTCTTTTCAATTTTGATCTTTACTGCCTGAACTGCAAGACTTAGTCAATTTCTTAGGAGTTACACGGCAAAGCTTGTTCGGTATAGTGTATGTTTTGGAAGTTGTTTGTCTTAAAATTAAATCAAATTTCTTCATCAAAAGGCCCCATCAGATAATTAAATGGTTTCCTCCGGTATTTGCTCCTCCTTAAAAAAGAACAGCGCATGCATTATCTACCGCAATACATCAAAGTATAAACTATCACGAAATACTACAATGTATTTCCTTAAGATACAAATTAGTGGGGGGTTGTTACTTTAAGAGGAGAAGAGATTGGAATTTGTTTTGAGGCGGCTCCGGTAGTGGGTTATGATGTTGTTTTTTCTGTGTTGTGTCTTCTCAAAGAGAACATTGCACTATATATAGAGGCTACCACATCATCTCCACCCCCTCAAAAACTGCCTCCGAGAGATATTCTCTCAACAACCCACTGCTCAATATTCTCTCAACAAAGTATCCTTTTGTTCAGCAAGTTAAGGTTTGAATTGGTCACCAATTGAATGAGTCAAAATTATATTTCCCACTTGACCAATTAAACCAAGTGATTTGCTTCTCACCATCCGTGAGATCATATGTTTCTTCTTATCATCAATCTCACTATCCGTAGAGAGTAACTCCTATTTCATATTCATGAAATTTACTTGAACTCATTTATTCCTAAGTCCCATCAAACTTATATGTTTGATAAAGGATTTTGCTTGTATTCCCTCTGTCAAAGGATCAGCAATCATATCTGTAGTGGGGATGTAAGTCACTTTAACTTCTCCATTTTCTACAATATCTCGAATGTAGTGATACTAGATCTCAATATGTTTTCCTTTGAAACTATTCGTACCACTACTGATCAAGCTAATTACTGCTTGATTATCACAATAAATATCAATAGGTTCTTCTAACAAATTGAGATCTAGATCAATTAAAAACTGTCGTATCCAGACAACATTTGTAGTTGTCATACTGTAAGCTATATATTCAGCTTCTTGTATGTATCTAGCAACACCCCATTGTTTCTTGCTACTCTAAGAAACAACTCCTTCTCCAGAGATGAACAAGTGTCCCGAAGTGAACTTTCCATCATCTTTATCACCTCCAAAATCAGCATTAGAGTAACCGAGGAGATCAAGCGAATCGGCTTGATAAACCAATCTATGAGTCAATGTACCTCTGATATACTTCATAATCCTTTTAATAGATTCCCAATGTGGCGGCCCCGGATTATTTTGACATCGACTGACTAGACTTATAGCATAAACTATATCACGTCTGGTGCACAACATTGTATACATCAAGCTTTCAATTGCTTAAGCATAAGGAATATCTAATGGCTTTTGCCCCTCTCTAGGGCTTTGCTCTTTATAAAATCTCTTTCCCATGACCAACGGAGTTGGTGCAAGATTGGAATTCTCTATTCCAAACCTTTTAAAAACCGATCTTAAATACTATTCTTGGTTTAAACTTAGTATTCTAGACCTTCTATCTCGAATTATTTGAATTCCAAGAATATATGATGCATCTCCCATGTCTTTCATCTCAAACTTTTCGCTGAGATCTTCCTTAATTTTATTCAATATTTTCATGTCATTTTCGACTAGCAATATATCATCCACATATAATGATAATATAGTAAATTTGCTCCCACTTTTCAAGACATATACACAATTATCTAATTTATTTTGAATAAAATTAAGTTTGGTGACTGCATCATAAAATTTGAGATACCACTGTCTAGAAGACTATTTTAAACCGAATAGAGATTTAAACTGAATAGAGAATTATTCTAATGGATGCAAATTTAGCTACAGGAGAATACATCTCCTAAAAATCTATTCATGCATTCTGTTTGTAACACTTGCCAACTAACCATACTTTAAATTTATCAGTAGATCCATCAACACGATATTTCTTTTTAAGTGCTCATTAATTTGCATCCTATGACTTTTAATTTTTCGGTAAATCACATAACTCTCATACTTTATTCTTTTTTATAGAATCAAGTTCTTCTCTCTTGGATTCAAGCCATAAAGCTAATTCATGCGATTTCATCGCATCAGAGAAGATTAAGGGATCTTGTTCTTCTATATTTATATTTACCAAGAAACAAGATGGTCTCACATGAATACAAATAGTAATCATCCATCCATGAAGATTGTATTCTTGGCCTTTTGTTGCCTAGAACTGCTTGATGAGGTACATTATTTTCTATAGGTATTTCATCATTTTAAAGGTTAGGTTCATTCACAATATCTAGATTATTACTGGGAATAACACTGTAATAATCATCACCTATTACAGTTAGAGGTTCTATTTCCTCTTGAACTTGTTCTTCTTCCTCTAGACTCTCTAGAAATATAGCATCTCTGCTTTTAATGACTCATTTTTCTTTATTGTATAACTTGTACCCTTTTGCCTTTTCTGAAAAGCCTATTAATCTACTCTTTATTGTTTTAAAATCTAACTTATCTCTAAGTTGATATGGAATGAGAACATGGGCTATAGATCCCCACTTCCTGAGATGACTCAGTTTAGATTTCCTTACATTCCATAATTCATATGGTATAGATACAATTGACTTGGTGGAAATTCTATTTAAAATGTAGTTTGCAGTTAACAATGTTTCTCTCCAAAATTTTTAATGAGACCAGAATGAGACAACATGCATCTAACTACGTTCAGTAATGTTTCATTCTTTCTTTCAGCAACATCATTCTATTATCGTGTATACGACATTGTCATATGCCTTTTAATTCAATGCTTAATACAGTAACTCTCAAATTCTTTAGAGTTATATTCCCCACCTTTATCAATTCTCAAAATTTTGATTGTCATTCCAAGTTGATTTTCAACTTCTGTCTTATATCTCTTAAAGCAGTCAAAAGCTTTTAATTTTTTAGATATAAGATAGACGTGTGCAAACTTAGAATAATCATCTATAAAGGTAATAAAATATTCTTTATTACTATAAGTTTTGACACTTAGGGGACCACAAATAACGAGTGTATCAATCCTAAAAGTTTATTGTCTCTTTATCCTCTAATAAAAGGTTTTCTGGTTATTTTACCAATTAAACAATATTCATATGGTGGTAATTGAACATTAGACAGTGTAGATAGTAAGTTCATTCTGATAATTTCTTTTATTTTTTTAAAATACTAACATGCCCTAGTCTAGAATGCTACAATTCAGACTTAGAAATATAACATGACAAATAGTTTAAATTCAAAATTTTATTATCAGAATTATTACAAATCTATACGAATACATAATTCATGCTCGGGCACATATGTTTTCATAGCATACACTTTATATTTTTGCCTATAGAAACACGATTATTGCAGAACCTTATTTCTAGTCCTTTTTTCATCAAGTTGGGAATAGAGATCAAGTTGTGCCGAATTCCTGACGCATAGAATACATCTTTGAAGACAAAAATATCATCCTCAAGATCCAATCTATACGAACCAATATCTTCTACATTGAGATAGGTACTTTTTCCCATATAGATACCCGTTCTCCTTTCTTCAGCTCGGTAAATTATGTGACTCCATTCTTATCATTTGCCATATTTCTAGTCGCACTGGAGTCGATTCACTAACCGCTAATATTTGTTATCATAGCATAGCATTCCGTCACACCGACGAATTCTCTTTTGCTAGTACCTCTTTGTTCCAGATGCTTATAGCCTCCCTTATTCTCCTACTTTTCACCTTGTGAGCAAGTGGGCTTGAAATGCCCTAACTTTCCACAATTATTGCAGGCTTCATGGGGGTACTTTCTTTCTCTTGAATTGCTCTGATTTTGATCATCATGGTTGTGGCTTACTAGGACCTAGGGTTTTATCGCTTCGAGCATTATGCCTCTGGCGGACATAATTCATCTCCTGCTGCACCATGTTCAGTTCTGGCTCTTTGCTATTGGCTATTAAGTCATGTTCTATCGCTAGGTGCATAGGAAGATCAGTGACAAATTTAATAGCAGTGTTCATTCTTAATGTGGTGGCAGTTTTAGCTAAGGAAGGGGGCGGACTATTCAATATAGTTGCCACTTACATTCTC